TCCACCTTCAGATTAATAATAGCAGTTTTAGAAGCTGCTAAAACTTATCTCAATAATTTCGACATTATTTAATTCAAAAGGACTTGGATAGAATTTTTCAAACTTAGCACTGATGTTAGTTTGGCTTTAAAGCATAAGTTCTGTTGAAGTATAAGTAGAATCAAACTAATCTTTTTGGCATTTAAGTCTCACTGATTCAATTATCATATTCTGACCTTATTCTGCGTAGATCAATTAATTTTTATATATCTCTTCAATATCAACTGACATTAAACTAAAAGTCTTAAAATTCTGAAGATATATAAGCTTATTTGAATTATTGGTATCGAAGAATAAGAAACAGCATTTCTCAATGGCAATATTTGCATTTTCAGACTTACTTTGAATAAGTCTATCATCTGTTTTTAAATTATAATCAGCAGATAGCCAAGATAAGTTTCTCATGCTAAAGGTGAAATTATTCTGGATTAATACAATACTTAGATCTGAAGAAATATTTGACTCGTCTATAAACAATAATGATCCATCAAAAGCAAGAAGATTTTCAAAAACTGAATTTTAAATATTAATGGATGAAAGTGTCAGATTTTAACCAAGATAAATAAAACCTCCATTAGTTGTACTAAATATGTTTTTAACATTGACTTAATCTATTTAAATTTATTATGAACCTTAAATAAGGTTGATGACTCCAGATTTTTAGCAGTAAATTTCTGAAAACTAACTGGTCTTTATTTCGATTTATATTTGTCCATCAATCTCCTATATCAATATTCCATTTATCCCCATTAATTAATGGAATTTTGTATTTTCTAAGTAAATAGAATGACAATTATCTTGACAAATTTTAGATTGTACTTATTAGGTTGGAGAAATGATTTGTTAGCTAAATTATTCATAAGAACCAATTATGCTACCACATGAATAAATGTTTTCAAAATTGGAATTAATAATCGAAACGTGGCCTCCTTATTCATTTAGCTCAATAAGAGCCCTAAAGTTGTACAAGAAGTTTTTAAAGGTTACATTCTAAATTTGATTAGTATATAACATTTATTCTTACCTCTAATTATAGTTAAGGGGGAGATTTCAGCATAGAATTAGAACTTATATCAAACTATAAAGTTAATCATAAAAAAATAAATAATTACTTTAATGAGTGAACCAAACTATAGCTAATCTCTGTTTTAGCAATCTAAAGTATCTAATAAATTTGATTCTGCTTATCCTGAATGCCTAATGTGACAAAATTCTGCTCCTGATAGAACTTTCTATTACTGTAATTCATTATAAGCAAAACTACAGCAAGATGTATTTGTAGAAAGTAAGCATTTGTAGCTTTCATCATTTAGGGAATTCAAGTCAATATTATCCTCTCGGATATCTAATATCGAATCTACAGCGTCAAATTCAATATTCCTGATAGTTAAGCCAGCTCCTACAAGGAATTAAAACTTATCTCTCAACTTGTAATGAACTTTTACAGGAGCTGAATTCACTGTATCTATAATAATCTTTGTCGATTAAGCATTCTTATCTTTATTTCTAAAATTCAGTAACTATTAAGATATTTTTGCAAAATCATA